CCCTAAACCCCTAACGGTTTTCAAGTGCAAGCCAAGTGGCCACAGCGACTTAATGCTGCTCGCGCAGATGATGGGTATGAGGAACCAGTGTATTCCTTGGTTCTATGGCGGCTGATGGGGATCTTTGCTAGGTTTCTTTCAGGGCTCGAGGGCCTAAGTTCAGGGCTTGGGTTAGGGTTTAGGGTTTAGGGTTTAGGGTTTAGGGTTTAGGGTTTAGGGTTTAGGGTTTAGCTTCAAATCNNNNCCCCCCCCCCCCGGCGAAACCCTAAACCCAAGAGTGCAACGTGCAGTTTCCCGATTTAGGACCGCCTCTCTGGCCAAACCAAGTAATTTAGGGGCCTTCACAATTAAAATAAGATTTTGGGGCCCATGATGCTAGAATTGTACTAAGGAACGCCCCCCAAATAGTATAGGTAACTATTCAGGCTCCAAAATATTAGAGGACAAGCCCCAACCCCGGAGTTTTCAAACGCTGAGGCATTCCATCCTCAACATCCATGCCCTGATGCGCACCCTCACGTCCCAGCACATCTGAGCCACCCTGTTAAGGGTTTAGGGTGTCGGGTTGTTGTATACAAACATATAAGAATCGCCTCCTAAACCCTAAACCAGCAATGAAGCCCAACGGACCGAGCATGAAACTCTGACAGAACCCTGGCTCACTCTAGAAATCCCTTACGGTACCCATTGAAATCACCCTATGAAACCATGGATTGCAACTTCTCGGAAACCCTAAAGCCCTAAAGCCCTAAACCCCTAAACCCTTAAAACCCTAAAACCTAAACCCCTAGACCCCTAAACCCCTAAACGCTAGACCCCGAAACCCTAAACCCCCAAGCCCTGGCTGGCTGCCAGGCAGCCGAGCATGAAGGTAATGCACTGGACCAAAGGAAAAGGGAAGGGGAACTCAGCGATCTTTCTCGCATTGTTCAGGTTGACCTCCAAGCTTTGTTTTTTAGGGTTTAGGGTTTAGGGTTTAGGGTGTCATGAAGATTTAGGGCTGAGGTCTGCTTTGTCGGGTTTATAGGGTGGTCTTTAGGCTTTTAAGGCCCTAAACCCTAAACCCTAAACCTAAACCCTAAACTCTAAACCTTGGATCTTTAAGAAAGCTTTGGGTCTCCGCCTTTCGGTGCGCCAGTCACAGCTCGTGCCCAGACCCAGGGCTTTTAACCCCCCAAATCCGAAACCGTAGACCCGGAAGTGACATGGGAGTTTCCGAAAATACGGGGTTTAGGGTTTAGGCTTTAGGGTTAGGGTTTAGGGTTTACCTTATTACTTGGGGTCCTTATAATATGGATCCTATTCTATTAGGGTACTATGTTAGGGTCCCCTGTTTTCGGAAACCCCCACATTGCCTGCGCCCCAAACCCTACACGACATTTTCTTGGAGCCCCAAGCCAAATCCCTTGTGAGGTCCGCAGAAAGTACGTAACACATAGCCTCTCGTGAACTTAAAAACTGTATTTTTGAATCGTCGACTCATAACGAAACCATGCTAAAGACAATGCACCTCAGACTGCCTCGATTCTGCAGACTCTATATATGCAGTAGGGACGACGCCTCGGAACCGCAGCCCAATTTGATGGACCTTCGACTGTAACTGTAATGCCGCTCAGGTACTCTACTCTCCCCGTTGCAGCACAAATTCAATATCTGCGATAATACCTTGCGGCTCGTTCATGCCAACGACATAAGCAAAGAGCGCCCATAACAGCTGTTATTCAATCCAGCCCCGCAGGCTTAAGTACTTCACCATGATCTTGATCCTCCTAACCCTACACCTGGACCCCCTCCACGTTAAATCCTACTACCCGATTATTGAATCCTCCGGACCCTCCAAACCGAAAAGAGCTCCTACAACATCGCCAACAATCCCCAGCTCCCTAAAGCCCTATTTGAGAGCCCTCTTCAAGCAATGAAACGCAGGGAAAGGAAGCTCCGACTCCAGCCTAAGCCCTCAGCCTAAACCCTAAACCCAAAAGCTCCGACTCCAACCTCAGCCCTAAGCCTAAACCCTAAACCCAAAGCCCTAAACCCTACACCACACGCCTAAACTGAATCCAAGGGGCGATTCCTCGCGAGTACTCCTGGAAGACTCGGGAAAGAATCGGAGGTGCCTTGGCACTCGCGATGATTGGGCTCCGTTAAGGGTTCTATAAGGTGTTCTATAAGGGTTCTATGAGGTGTTCGATAAGGGATCTTAAAGGGTTCTGTAAGGGTTCTATAAGAAAGCTGTAAGGCTTCGATTAGGGTGTAGGGCTCATGGTTTAAGGGTTAAGGGATCAGCTAGAGAGTTCAGGGTTTGGGGTTTAGCAATTACTGAAGCTAATTCGGGGGCAATGTAGGGGCATAAATAATTACCTATACTGGTTTAGGGGTTCCTTATTATGATTATAGTAAAATGGGCCGCAAAACCCTATTCGAATTATTAAGCTTATTATTGAGGCCCCTATATTACAATGGCTTAGGGCTTGACAGCAGACGTCTCTGCATGTGACCTTCGCACATCATGTATGTCCTTCACAAGGTCGGCCGCAAGAGGACGATGTCATTCTGAAAACCAATCATCTGGGGCTCAGGGAAACCAACTGGCCTGCGACGTTCCATATTGTTAGCATTTGTTTCAAGTTGAAGCAGAATTTCGTGAGCTACTGCTATCTGGTGAGGTGTACATGAATATGTATGTGCCATATATACATATATACGTACATGTATACATACATACATGCATGCATGCATGCATGCATACATACATACATACATACATACATACATACATACATACATATATACATACACACATACATACATGGTACTTGGGGGAAATTGCGATAGAACCCAAGACGCTGATAACTCAGAACCCAAAACCCAAGATTTCACATCCGAGGCCCAAACCTTAAACCCCAAAGCCTAGTCCCAAGCCCCCTCAACTCTCAAGCCTACACCCGTCAACCCTAAACCCCAAACCCTGAACACTAAACCCGAAACCCCAGACCCCAAATCCTAAACCCAAAACCCTGAACCCTAAACCCCCAAACCCACAGCCGCCTCCCCGCACGGGCTGATTACGCGTAACTCTGAAGCCAACTACCCGAGGCCATTCAGGTTTAGGCTCAGGGTTTAGGGTTTAGGGTTCAGGGTTTAGGGTTTAGGTTTCATCAAGGTTTCGTACAGGCTTGGTAGGCTCTGTCAAGGTTTCTTCAGGCTTTGCCAAGGTGTTTTGAGGCCTTTATATGGCTTTGTACGGCTTCTAACCTAAATCCTAATATAGGGGCCTTAATAATTAGAACAGGGTTCCTTTAACGGGATGCCGGAACGGTTCTATAAGGGGTTCTATAGTAGGGGCCTTAATAATTAGAATCGGGTTTTGGGGTATAGTATACTATAATTATAGTACGGAGCCCCCAAAGAAAAGTATTTTGAATTATTCAGGCCCCTGCATTCGCCAACCCCAACCCTAAACCCTAAACCCTAAACCCCTGAACCCCTGAACCCTAAACCCTAAACCCTGAACCCCTGAACCCCCAATCCCCAGCTTCAAAATCCCCACCAAAACCCGAAACCCCAAAGCCCAGTGCAGCTAGGAGGCCACAGGCACCACACCTTGGTTCTCCCGAGTAACCAAGGACAACTAAACAAAGATAGCGTTTAGGGTTTAGGGTTTATGGCTTAGGGGTTTGGGTTTAGGGTTTAGGGTTTAGGGGTTAGGGTTTAGGGTTTAGGGATAACTCCATGGAGCCCTACAAACCGTAAAGGCACGGTACAAAAGCACCAAAAAAGCCCAGATGCCGTTTTTGTGGTTTTCCACAATGAGCCGCTGGATCCACTGCAAGACGACCTCCACCTGGTGCAGTCTCTCAGGTACCGGGATCAGGGTTTAAGGTCTACCTATAGTCTCCATTGTAGTTCCTTTTTTGGTTTAACCAGTTTTATATTTGGGATCCTATAAAGTAACCACAAAAAGGAACTACAATGGAGACTATAGGTATACCGTAATACCTGAAATCCTAAACCCGATACGGTATTTGTTGTATCCGGCCCATGGTTCCCGAACGTCAGGATTGCTGTGCTTGTTTTTAAGCGAAGGAAGGTGCAACGCGTGTGTGTGTCTGTGTTGCTTTTGTCTTTCCTGCTTTTGCTGAGGGAGCTCAGGTTTGGGGTTTTCAACAGTTTCGGGCGCTTGAAACTTTGAATGCTTTAATGCTTTATGACACTAAACCCTAATCCGTAAACCCTAAATGGGCATGTGGGGCTTAAGGTTCAGAACTCCGGATCTCGATAATGTGGGCCGTAGGCATCGTAGTAATACGAAGTGCAAGGATAAGGTAGAGCGATGTACTGAGGCCAACAGAAATCTACGGCAATAGATGCAGAGGCTGGCATACCACTGCGGTTGGCGCTTGGATGCGCTTGGCAGAGGGAAGCAATGAGAAGAGCCTTGCAGTACCTCCCGACCGAAGGAGCCCCTGAAACCACAGAAGCATACGGATCTTACGGTGTAGAAAGTCCCGCGTGACCCCCTAGGTGAAAATACGCACCAACGCGTCAAGCCGCATTTCTATACACCCGAACCAGATCCACCCCTGAAGACGCCAGGCTCTCAGCACTCTCTGAACCGTGTTCACCCGACGTCTTCATCCCGAATTCTTCTCCCCTGAAACCGAAACACTAAATCCTAAATCCTACTACAAGCCCCAAACCCCAAACCCTCAACCCTAAATCCTAAACCCTCGAAGTCCTAATTAAACCCCAAACCCTAAAGCCGGAAAACCACCCTAAACCCTAAACCCTAAACCCTAAACACAACCATAAGGATGCCTTGTCGTTCACATTGTCCAGGAACTTGAGACCTCGGCCCATGGCACTGGGGCTTGGAGCTACGCCTTTTCGTGAAGTTAAAGTAGTAACAACAATGATGGGGTTTCGGGTTTCGGGTTTAGG